AACATGCCTATGTGCAGAGCCAAGCAGGAATCAGACCTAAAGTTTTAAGATAATGAAGGAGACAGGTACAGAAATGAAGGTTGAGATGTCAAGACTCATCCTGCTTTTAGTTATCCTTTAGGCACTTGTAGGTCTAACCTCTAGGTCTCTGTTACACACTGATTAAAGGGAAGAGATCAGATTTGGCCAAAAAAATTGGTTTTAAAAATCGATCTGGAGATGTGATACTTCAGTCTGTCTAGATCCTTCATAACCTTGGCGAGGGTCCTACCTGCCTCTCTCAGGCAGCACTTCGTCTTTACCACTTCTTCCTTGTCCTACAAAGATGGCATAGGTGTTCTCCACAGCAGGGCTTGTGGTGCTAATGGAAAATGAAGTTTATTAAGATGCAGAAGAGCAGCAAAGGGTAAGTGGCTTTTTGGGCTCTCGTGATCAAAGTGAGAGGATTGTTTGGGGCTGTATGTGGTCATCTGGTGCAAAATCAGGGGCTTTAAGAGGGGCCCCTGTCCCTAGGACTCTGTCTTGGGAGCCCTGGGACAGGAAAGGCCTTGCTTTGAAGTCTCAGCAGCCAGTATCAGCTTGTCCCATTCAGCTGACTTGGACCTGCTGAGCCAGCTCCCTGCTAAGCTACTGAGAGGGAGCGAATAAGAGATTCACATTTGAGGACTTCTGGATTTGCTCCCTTTGGTTACATATCAATTCCTGGACCCTGTTGCTGGCCTCTAAACAAGAGAGAAAGGTATTTTCCAACCTGGCATCAAATATCCCTTCATGCCCTCCCAGTCCCCAGCTTATGTCTTACTGTTCTGGATATTTTGCTGTACTCAGTCCCAGGATATCTCGCCTTTGCCTCTTGGTTCTGCAGGCCAGTCAGTCACTACAAATTAATCATGCCAAGTTTACTTTACCTCTGCAGACATCATGTGCTCTGCTTTTACTTATTTATTTATTTATTTTTGTGGTACCAGGAATTGAATTCAGGACCTTGTGCTTGCCAGGGAAGTGCTTGCACTGCTGAGCTATCTCCCGAGCCCCTCTGCCTTTATTTCTTGATAGCCCTGTTAAAGGATGACTTATAAAAAGGACTCTCAGCTTCCTATTAAATGAACAAATTATCAAAAGTTTCTGCTAATTGGTTAATGAGGGGACCACTAAGATGTTACAAATGACACAAATGAAGATTTAATTTACAGAGAGTTGTATTCTCTACCAGACAAAAGAGATAATCTGCATAGTTCCAGACAGGAAAGATATGCACTAATATCAATGTCTACCTTTACAGAGTTGTGAAATAGCCTAGTGAAGAACAGTCAGAGGCACATAGCCTATAAAATCAGATAATTCTAGAAGGTCCACTGGACAGGGCTCAGCACTCTATTGGAAGGATGTTTAGTCACCTCTATTGCCTATTTTATTTTATTTATCTTGGTGGGTGTACTGGGAATCAAACTCAGGACCTCATGCTTACCATGCAGGCTCTGTTCCACTGA